CTCGGTGGGAAGGTAACAGCGTTCCATGTCTAGTCGCGCTGGCCATGTGACCATGGAAACAGTCTTTGGACAAAACGCTGGCTCTGTGGCTTGGAAACAGGGATGAGCACCGCGCCCTAGAGTCGGGCACGACTGGACTAAATGTCAAGGGGAACCTAACCAATGCTGCTTAAAGCACTCTCGGTGGTTTTATAATTTAATTATGAAGGCTATGCCTTACGTTGCCCCTGGAGCAAGCTGGGTACTCAGTTTACCAACTTTGGAAGGATGGAAGATTGGGTCACCCTTGAGCTGCTACCTATCAGTTGTGAGCAGTCTTGACTGCAGGACTGCAGTTTAATCACTGTTCAAAGGCTGGTTGGATTAGATCTAAGACAGATGTGTGTAAGTTTGGTTTTTTTGTTTTTTGTTTTTGCCTGCTTTGAAAAAAAAATAAAAAGGAAGTTTTGGGATGGGTGTAAAAATGAAGTCGGGGCTCCATGGCTGACCACTCCAGCTTTAAAGCCACCATTGGTATACAAGCTTCTCTGCAGAAGGAAAAAACTTTCATAAATGTTCTCTCTTGCTTACAGGGTCCTTGGTCTTGGGTCAGACAGCGGTTGTAGAGACTCCTGAAAACAGCAGTAAGTTTTGAGAACGATTGCCATCTTCCTATGGTTTCTGCTCATTTCTACTATGCCTTGTTCCTAATGTCACTCAAGCAAAGTGCCTCCTCTTCCCTAACTGCCTTTTTTCAATTTGTTTGTTTGTTTGTTTTAATGGGATGGCAGTGCTAAGAAGGCAGCGTCGTCCCCCTCCTTTGGTCCCATGAGATTTTCTTTGGGGCAAGGCAGGCCCCCTACACCGCGTTGCCTCTTGTATGTGAATAGTTGGGTATGGCTGGAAGCCCATCCCTCACAGTTCCCTTCTCCTACATTCTACACCCAGAAGAGCCCATTTCAGTCATGACTTAAGAACAAGGTTGCCACCTCATTACAGGGAAGAAAAACAGCCCAGGCATACACAGTAAATGAAACAAGACATCTCTCCTTCTGAGTCCTTGTTCCTCAAGGGTTCCCTTTCTCCCTTTAATAAACAACTGTCTTTCACAGATTTTCTGGCCAGGAAAGTTCCCGTGCACTGTCGCTCTTTTTAAAAAATCCTCTTTAAGCTTTGAGATTGTACGGCTCAAAGAAAAGGGATAAGCCTGTAGTACCACACAGGCTTTGTAAGCAGTGCTAATCTTATTAAGCCGTCCAATCCTGTCTTTTACAGATTCGGATTACAGTTCCCAGAAGCCTTGTTCATCAGGGGATTCTGGGACTTGTGATCCTGACAAGAAACGTTTCAAGGTTGTAGCTCTCACTGTTTTTGCTTTTGACCGAACCAAGAAATCCAAACCAGGCAGAATTCCATTAGGCTCTAAATCAATGCTTCCCAACCTGGGCGTCATGAACCCCAAGGAGATGATAATGTGCTTTGGTGAGGGGGGATATAGGTTGCCTTATATGAATTGTACCAGGCTCTAAATCAATGCTTCCCAACCTGGGCATCATGAACCACAAGGAGATGATAATGTGCTTTGGGAAGGGGGGGTCATAGGTTGCCTTACATGAATTGTACCACTTGTTAAATAATTTATTCCTTATCCTTTCTGGGTCAGATTATAAAGTTTGCATATATATGTACGTATGTATGAGAGAAAGGCCCTTTGGGAGAGAAAGAAGCCTCTACTATTTGAGAAGGGATGATTTTACTCCATTGAAAAATGTATTTTTATTCAAAAATGTTGGGGGAGCTCACAGGTTACTTGGCTATTATAAAGGGTTTGTGGGTGAAGACTAAAAAAAATTGCTCTAAACAATGCATGTTCTGTTGCAGAAGAAAAATTCATTCTTTGAGGGGGGGAATTAACTTTTATATTCATATTAATGTCAGGTTGAGAAATTGAACACGTCTCACAAGAGACCACATGGTTCACCTGCTGTCCAGGCTTAATGACATCAATGCTCTCACATTAATTGCAGAAAAACACATGCAAACATAGGGATCACATCAGCCGTGAAGAACCAGAAAGCTGTATGCCAAAGGGTGCATTGATGAAGCATGCGCGCTTCCACTGTGCACATGGGCACCTTTTTGGTGAGAAGCAAAGGAACCGCCAACCTCCATTGTCTTTCAGAAGGCTGAGCGCAGATTCTTCTGTTGCTGCCAGCACAGATTTTGCAAACAAACAAACAAAAATCTTGGGTAGAAAACACAAGGTTTCCTGCAGGAGCTTTTCTGGGGTCTTTCGGAGGAAGGGGCCTCAAAGGCCAGAAAGCCGTCTGTCTCTAGCACGATTTGGTCTAAAGGATGGCTCAGGCTGTAATGCAGAAGAGGCCAGGATGTGGTTCATGGGCTGCAAGGGGGGGTGCCCTCAGTTCTTTGCCCCCCAAATGGTGGTGAGCACTTTGTTCCCAGACCAGGACAGTCACTCTCCTTGAAATCTCTGGGTGTAAGAGGAGCCCTCTAAGAGCAAGGCTCAGTGGGCAAAGGACATCCCCTATGGATGGTGGCCTGCGCCCCCCCCCGAAATGACTCTACCTTAGCCACACTAGCTACAGTGATGGCCCAGCCCACCCACATCTGGAGACCTGCATTTGCCTAGCCTTGCTCTCCAGATGTCTTTTTCTGGGTTCTCCTCCACCTGTCGGAAAGCCAGTCAGCTGTGGTCTTTGTGGGACGGGGGGGGGACATTAAAAGCAGACCATTAAAAGCACATATTTGTGTTGGCAGTGTGATCCATTACAGGGCCGGGGGGGGGCTTTAAAATTGGCCCCTAGACTGACTAAAGCTGCCCACCCCGACATAGAGAACAGCGTTGTCTTCCTCCTTGGATCCACAGATGGAAATCCTTTCTTTGGCTGAGAACCCATGGTTGTCTGGAACATATCAAAGGGATCATCTCTCTGTGTTTGAAAAACAAGTCTGCAGTGAACAGGGAGACCTGTTTCACACTCTGTGAGGTGAAAAAAAGGGGGGGATCCCACTCTTTTCCCTTTATTCTCACCCTCCACAGCATGAAACAGGTCACCCTGTTTGCTGTAGGTGTTACTATTCTAGGATTGTTTTGTGCCACAAACCAGATTCCACTGGCAGGACCTTGCATGGCTCACCCACCTTGCCTGAAGCCGTGGGTGCAAACAGAGGGCTATCGTGAAATAGCAGACGTGGTGCCCCCACCCAGCCAGAAATCTCTGGTCCTGTGAAATTTTGAGATGTATCCCGCTGATAACTAGCTGGGTAGCATCTCAGGGTGTGTGCTGATAAGGACCGAGGCTCCCTACGTTTTTTTTTTGCCTAGAAGACATAATTATGTTCAGAAGCCCTTGTGGTGGTGGGGAATCTACGGATGACTCAAGCTTATGAAAGGAAGAGCTTTTCTATCTCCATGCAATTTTGATTTGCAGGATAATTTGCATGAAAATTACAGTACTCATGAATGTTTAGTACAACTTTCAGTGTATTTCTTCTTGT